GGTCCCTCACTTGGTGTGAGGGTCCACGAAGTTAGACCAATCAAGGGTGGTGGGGCGGTTAATCGCACTCCCACTGTTCTTGAGAGAGAGAGTGTGGCGAATAACAAGAAATTCGGGGAAGTGAGGTTGGACGTCTCTGTCAACCGGAGGTTGGGTCGTCGGGTTGTAGTCCAGGGGGTCCCAGGGCTACAAAAGATGTCTGCCGGAGGTGCGGTCAAGAAGGCCACAAAGCTGCCAGCTGCGTCAATGCACCACATTGCCGCAACTGTGCGTTCAAGGGGAGACCAGCTGGGCATCTTATGATGTCAGCTGCCTGCCCTATATATTGTGGTCTTGTTGAGCGCGCCCTCCCCAGACACTGATGGGTGGGATCATCCAACTTAACTGTCAGGGCTCCTATGCCGTGATGTGTGAGTTGGGAGGTTGTATGGTTGAGGGTGTGTGCGGTATTGCTCTACTCCAGGAGCCCTACGCCACCAATGGTGTGGTTCGGGGGCTTCCCATGGGTTTTAAGGTCTTCACTGACCTTAGAGCTAAAGCCGCAATTGTTGTGAATAATCCACGCTACGATTGCGTAGTTGTGGAATTTTCCCAACTGGGTATATGTGTAGCTATAGAAGAGGAGTTCGGTAGGATGATTGTCGCTAGTTTATATTGTAAATATAGCGAGCCCCTAGAGCCCTACCTGGGCTACATGGATAAGCTACTACTACTTGCGAGTAGTAGCCCATTTATCCCAGGGCTGGATGCGATTGCCTCGTCCTCGATGTGGTTTAGTAAGGTATCCCGGCATCCTCTGAACACCAAAGCCACAGTCGAGGCGACGCATTAAGCGAATAGGTGGTGGCTAATAGCCTCCACATTTTGAATGAGCCGAGCGAATGGKATACGTTCGATGGGCCTGGGGGCGTGAGCGACATTGACGTGGGGCTTATGAATGAGGCAGCAAGTAGGGCTTTCAGTGTTARATGGGAGGTTAAAGGAGGGTGGGATCATAATTTGATTCAAATTATGGTTACCCCTCAATCCTCTCCCTTGCCTTATGAGAGTCCATTGCGGCCATGGCGTACCTCTGGTACTGAGTGGAACCAATATGGACTCTCCGTTAGGGATGCGGTGTTGGGAATRCCGCTTAGAGTTTTTGAGGAGTTGGGGGTGGACGAGCAAATTTCTCGTCTCTATGAGGTAGTTTGGGGGGTGAATGATAGGGGTTTTGGTAGATGTGAATGTTCAAGAGTTAGCAAAATTAAATGGTGGACGCGTGAGCTAACCTTGAAGAGGAGGACTGTCAGGCGATTGAGGCGAAGGTTTCAACGCGCCCGACGGTCCAATTCTGATAGGCTCTCCCAGCTTAGGTATGCATTTAGTTGTGCGGATAGGGAGTATAAGGAGAGGCTAGTTAAAGTTAAAGAGGAAGATTGGAGGAGTTTTGTGAGAGAGAATAGGAACGACCCCTGGGGTCAGATCTATAGGATCTGCCGGGGTCGTAGAAGGGAGGATGTCACCTCTCTTCGCGTCGGTGACACTCTGTTATCGTCATTGAGAGAGTGTGCGGGGGTTCTGTTAGGTGCGTTCTTTCCTAGGTCGGAAGTGCAGGTACCTCAGGCACAAGAGGTGCCTGTTCCTCCATTAGATGATGGGGAGCTGGGGTACGCCTTTGGCTAGGGTTGTTCCTCTCCTGAAGTCCCCCGATAAGATCAGGAGCCATCCTCGATCTTATCGAGGCATCAGTCTCCTTCCAGTGCTTGGAAAAGTGCTGGAAAGAGT